CCACTTCCCGGTGTCATTCCTGATGCACTTCCAGATGTGATTCCCAATATATTTCCGGATCCACTTCCCGGTGTCATTCCTGATGCACTTCCCGATGTGATTCCGGATCCACTTCCGGATCTACTTCCAGATGTGATTCCTGATGCATTTCCGGATCCACTTCCCGAAGTCATTCCTGATGCACTTCCCAATGTGATTCCGGACCCACTTCCGGATCTACTTCCAGATGCGATTCCCAATGCGTTTCCCAATGTCATTCCCAATCCACTTCCCAATGTGATTCCGGATCCACTTCCTGATGTGATTCCGGATCCGCTTCCGGATCCACTTCCCGATGTGACTCCGGATCCACTTCCGGACCCACTTCCCGATGCGATTCCCAATGCACTTCCCGATGTGACTCCGGCTCCACTTCCCGATGTGACTCCGGATCCACTTCCCGATGTGACTCCGGCTCCACTTCCGGCTCCGCTTCCGGCTCCACTTCCCGATGTGACTCCGGCTCCACTTCCGGATCCACTTCCGGCCCCACTTCCCGATGTGACTCCGGCTCCACTTCCGGCTCCACTTCCGGCCCCACTTCCCGATGCGCTCCCGGCCGCGCTCCCTCCCGCCGCCCGCGCCACCTCGGCCTCGAAGTGCTGCAGGAAGTGGCGGGCGAAGTGCTGGGAGAAGGCGTTTTCCGGCAGAGAATTCCCACTTCCCGGGAATGCCGCCCCCTCCCCCACCCCCCCCGGAATTCCGGGAAGCGCGGACGAAGGCCAAATAGCGGCGGGCGAAGTCGCGGGCGGCGGCGCGGGCCTGGAGCTCACAGAATTCCCGCCAGGAATGGGGGTGGGGGTTGGGGGGGGCAGGGGGGGACGGAGGGGGGGAGGGGGGGGCGCGCCCCGCCCCCGCCCCCCCCAAGGGGTCGTCGCTCCCGTTCATGGATCCCCCCGGAGCCGGGGATGGAGGCGGGAGGGAGGCGGGAACAACCTGGGGGGAGGGAGACAGGGACACAGACCCGTAAGGACCCCATAGGGACCCATAGAGACCCCATAGAGACCCATAGAGACCCCATAGAGACCCATAGGGACCCATAGAGAACCCACAGAGTCCCATAGGGACCCATAGAGACCCATAAGGACCCCATAGGGACCCATAGAGACCCCATAGGGACCAATAGGGACCCATAGAGACCCCATAGAGTCCCATAGGGACCCATAGAGACCCATAAGGACCCCATAGGGACCCATAGAGACCCCATAGGGACCCATAGAGACCCATAAGAACCCCATAGGGACCCATAGAGACCCATACAGCCCCCATAGGGACACGTAGGGACCCCATAGAGACCCATAGGGAGCCATAGAGACCCCATAGTGACCCACAGAAACCCATAGGACCCCATAGAGACCCATAAGAAACCCATAGAGACCCATAGGGACTCCACAGAAACACACAGAGACCCCATGGACACTCACAGAGACCCCATAGAAACCCATAGAGACCCATACAGACCATAGAAACCCCATAGAGACCCCTAGGGACCCCCATAGAGACCCATACAGACCCCATAATAATTCATAGAGACCCACAGATGCCCCATAGAAGCCCACAGGGACTCATAGGGACCCACAGAGACCCATAAGAATCCTTAGAAACCCATAGAAACTCCATAGAGACCCATAAACCCCCCATATACCCCCACAGCCCCACATAGACCCCATAGATTCCCATAGCCCCCCATAGCCCCCCCATAGCCAACCATAGCCCCCCATAGCCCCCCCATAGACAACCATAGCCCCCCACTGTCCTCCCATAGACCCCCACAAACCTAACATAGACCCCCATAGCCCCCCCATACCTGCCATAGAGCCCCACAGACCCCCCAGCAGACCTCCCATACCACCCTATACCCCCCATAGTGCCCCACAGAGCCCCCATAGCCACCCATGCACCCCCCATAACCTCTCATAGCCCCCCTAAACCCCCATATGCCCCCCATACCCCCCCAAAGACCCCCACACACCCCCCATAGCCCCCCATATACCCCTGAGAGCCCACCACAGTCCCCCCATACCCCCACTACAGACCCCCCCCCAGACCCCCATATACTCCATAGACCCTCATAGACCCCCCATACACCCCCCACACCCCCCATATCCTCCCCAAAAGACCCCCATAGAGCCCCACAGACCCCCATAACCCCCATAGACCATCACAGACCCCCCCCATAGACCCTCATAGACCCCCCATACACCCCACACACCCCCATATCCTCCCCAAAAGACCCCCATAGAGCCCCACAGACCCCCATAACCCCCATAGACCATCATAGACGCCCCCACAGACCCTCATAGATGCCCCCATAGACCCTCATATACCCCCCAAAGACCCCCAGAGCCCTACAGACCCCCATAACCCCCCCAAAGACCATCATAGACCCTCATAGACGCCCTAAGCACCCTCATAGACCCCATAGTCACCCATAGACCCCATAGTCACCCACAGACCCCCACAGGCACCCCATAGAGCCCCACAGACCCCCATAGTCACCCATAGACCCCCATAGGCACCCCATAGAGCCCCACAGTCACCCATAGACCCCCATAGGCACCCCATAGACCCCCACAGGCACCCCATAGACCCCCATAGTCACCCATAGAGCCCCATAGGCACCCCATAGACCCCCATAGGCACCCCATAGAGCCCCACAGACCCCCATAGTCACCCATAGACCCCCATAGGCACCCCATAGACCCCCACAGGCACCCCATAGACCCCCATAGTCACCCATAGACCACCCCAGGCACCCCATAGAGCCCCACAGACCCCCACAGTCACCCATAGACCCCCATAGACACCCCATAGAACCCCACAGGCACCCCACAGAGCCCCATAAACCCCCATAGAGCCCTATAGACCCCCATAGAGCCCCATAGACCCCCATAACCCCCCCACAGATCATCATAGACCCTCATAGACCCCCCATAGTCACCGACAGACCCCCACAGGCACCCATAGACCCCCATAGGCACCCACAGACCCCCATAGGCACCCCATAGACCCCCATAACCCCCCCATAGACACCCCATAGACCCCCCCCTCCCCCCCCATACCAACCATGGCGACCCCCCCCCGGCTCCACGTTACGGGGGGGGACCGGGACCTCCCCTCCCCCCCCCCTCCGCTCCTCTTCTTCCTCCTCCTCCTCCTCCTCAGGCTCCCTCCCGCCGCTTCCGCTTCCGGGCCGCGGGCTCGGCTTCCGCTTCCGGAGGACCGAGGGCGGCCCAGAGCATAGAGGCGAGGGGGTAGAGCGGCGCCGGGCGCAAGGCGGAAGTGCGGCCCTGGGGGGGGCGCTCTGTCCAGTAACCATAGAGACGCGGGGAGCGCTGCTGTGGGCGGCCTGTGGAGACCCATAGAGACCTATGGAGACCCATAGAGACCCATAGGCACCCTATAGAGCCCCATAGAGACCCCATAGAGCCCCATAGAGCCCCCATAGAGACCCATAGAGACCCATAGGCACCCTATAGAGCCCCATAGAGACCCCATAGAGACCCCATAGAGACCAATAGACACCCTATAGAGCCCCATAGAGTCCCATAGAGACCCCATAGAGCCCCATAGAGACCCCATAGAGACCCCATAGAGACCAATAGACACCCTATAGAGCCCCATAGAGTCCCATAGAGACCCCATAGAGCCCCATAGAGACCCCATAGAGACCCATAGAGGCCCATGGACACCCCATACAGCACCATAGGCACCCCATAGAGCTGCATAGAGCCCCATGGACACCCCATAGAGCCCCATAGGCACCTATAGAGCCCCATAGGCACCTATAGAGCCCCACAGACCCCCATAGGCGCCCCATAGAGCCCCATGGACACCCCATAGAGCCCCATAGGCACCTATAGAGCCCCATAGGCACCTATAGAGCCCCACAGACCCCCATAGGCACCCCATAGAGCCCCATGGACACCCCATAGAGCCCCATAGAGCTCCACAGACACCCCATAGAGCCACATAAAGCCCCATAGACACCCATAGAACCTATAGACGCACCATAGGCACCCTATTAACACCTATAGAGCCCCATGGACCCCCATAGGCACCTATAGAGCCCCATAGGCACCCCATAGACCCCCCATAGGCACCTATAGACCCCCATAGGCACCCCAAGGGCCCTCATAGGCACCCATAGACCCGCATAGGCACCCTATAGAGCCCCATAGACACCCCACAGACCCCTATAGGCACCCCATAGACCCCATAGGCACCGCATAGGCACCCATAGAGCCCCATAGACCCCCACAGACCCCTATAGGCACCCCATAGACCCCCGATAGGCCCCCATAGACCCCACAGACCCCCCATAGGCACCCATAGAGCCCCATAGACACCCCACAGACCCCCACAGACCCCTATAGGCACCCCATAGACCCCCGATAGGCCCCCATAGACCCCATAGGCACCCCATAGGCACCCATAGAGCCCCATAGACACCCCATAGACGCCATAGATCCCTATAGGGCCCCATAGAGCCCCATAGACCCCTTGGAGGACTAAAGGGGGGGGGGGGGGGGCAACTTGGAGTCAAACCCTCAGCGCGCATGCGCATAGCGGGAGGGGGGAGAGGGCGGAGCGTGCGCATGCGCGGGGCGGCCGCCGGGACTATTTCCCTCCGCGGAGGGACTATTTTCTTCCTCTTTTCCCCTTTTCGACGCGATTTAACCCAAACCAACGCTAAACACGTGGAGAAATAACGCCTGATTTGGTTAAATTTGGGTGTTTTTAGGGGGAAAACCAAGCGGGAGGGGCAGGAACCCCCGCGGATGGCGGCGCGGCGGAAGGAGACGGGGCCGAACGGGGCCGCGCTGCGTCCGCCGTCTCCCTCCGCCCCTCAGAGGGCTCCGCTGAGGGGGGGGGGGGGGGGAAGCGGCGGCTTTAAACGGCGTTTGAAGGCGTTGGAACGCGTTGAAACGCGTTTAAACGCCCCCAAACGTCTTCCCCTCCCCCTCCGTTGGGCGCCATGCTGAAGCAGCCGCCGCCCCCTTCCCCCCCAAGCCCCAACGGCGGCCTCAGCCCCGGGGGGGGGCGAGGGGGAGGCCTCAGGTAATGGCGGCCTATGGGGAATGGGGGGGGGGGGTGGTTATGGGGGGGGTTGTGGGGGGGTTATGGGGGGTCATTGGGGTGGTTGTGGGGCTGGTCATGGGGTTATGGGGGGTGTGGGGCTGGTCATGGGGTTATGGGGGGGGTTATGGGGTTATGGGGGTGGTTGTGTGGCTGGTCATGGGGTTATGGGGTGGTTGTGGGGTTACTTATGGGGTTATGGGTGGTTATGGGGTAATGGGGGTGGTTGTGGGGCTGGTCATGGGGTTATGGGGGGGGTTGTGGGGTTATGGGGGTGGTTATGGGGTTGTTATGGGGGGTCATGGGGGTGGTTGTGGGGCTGGTCATGGGGTTATGGGGTGGTTGTGGGGCTGGTCATGGGGTTATGGGGGTGGTTGTGGGGTTACTTATGGGGTTATGGGTGGTTATGGGGTAATGGGGGTGGTTGTGGGGTTGGTCATGGGGTTATGGGGGGGGTGGGGCTGCTTATGGGGTTATGGGGTTGTGGGGGTGGTTATGGGGTTATGGGGGTGGTTGTGGGGCTGGTTATGGGGTTATAGGGGGTGAGGGGCTGGTTATGGGGTTATAGGGGTGTTTGTGGGGCTGGTTATGGGGGGGTTGTGGGGTTGGTTATGGGGAGGTTATGGGTTATGGGGGGTTGTGGGGTTGTGGGGGTTGGTTATGGGGTTGTGGGTCTGGTTATGGGATGGTTGTGGGGGGATTATGGGGGTTTATGGGGTTGTGGGGGGGTTATGGGGGTGGTTATGGGGTTTTTGTGGGGGGGTTATGGGGGTGGTTGTGGGGTTATGGGAGTGGTTGTGGGGTTATGGGGGTGGTTGTGGGATTATGGGGGTGGTTGTGGGGTTATGGGGGTGGTTGTGGGGCTGGTTATGGGGTTATGGGGGTGGTTGTTGGGTTGGTTATGGGGTTAGTTGTGGGGTTATGGGGGTGATTTTGGGTTGGGGGGGTTATGCGGGTGGTTATAGGTTTGGGAGGGGGTTATGGGGCTGTGGGTTGGTTATGGGGCTGGTAATGGGGTTAAGGCCTCACTTAGGGGGCTGGAGGGGGTTATGGGGCTGGTAATGGGGCTTGAAGGGGGATATGGGGCTGGTTATGGGGCTAAGGCCTCACTTATGGGGTTGGAGGGGATTATGGGGGTGGGGGTGGGGTTATGGGGCTGGATATGGGGCAGTTCTATGGGAGCCTTATTAACGGGTCTGTTCCACCCCTTTAGGAGCCAGAGCACAGGGAAGGCCCCCCCCCAAGTGCCGGTGAGTGACCCACAAGTGGGGGGGGGTCCTGCCCCCTAAGCTATGGGGCGGGGGGGGGGTTATGGGGCGGCTTTGACCCCTTGGGCCCCATTGCAGGTGTTCGAGGGGGTTTATAACAACTCAAGGATGCTGCACGTGCTGACGGCGGCCGTGGTGAGATGTGGGGCAGGCTATGGGGCTGGGATGGAGTTATGGGGCTGGTTATGTGCTTGGGAGTGAGCTATGGGGCCGGCTGTGGAGCTGGTTATAGGGCTAGGAGGGGGTTAGGGGGTTGGTTATGGGACTGTGAGGGAGCTATGGGGTTGGCTGTGGGGCTGGGAGTGGGCTATGGGGCTGGCTGTGGGGCTAGGAGGAAGTTATGGGGCTCGTTATGGGGCTGGGATGGAGCTATGGGACAGGTTATGGGGATGGGAGGGAGTTAGGGGGCTGGGAGGGGGCCAATGGGCTGGCTATGGGGCTGGTTATGGGGTTGGGAGGGAGCTGTGGGGCTGGCTGTTGGGCTGGGACAGGGCTATGGGGCTGGTTATGTGCCTGGGGGGGAGTTATGGGGCTGAGGGGCAGTTATGGGGCTGGTTGTGGGGGTAAAGGGAGAGTTATGGGGCTCGGGGTTGTTTCTATGGGGTTTATGTAGTTTTCTGTGGGGTTCTATGGTGTTTCTATAGGTCCTTATGGGGCTCTATGGAAATCTATGGGGTTGCTATGGGGTTTCTATGGGGTTTGTATGGGTTGCTATGGGATCTCTATTGGTTTCTATGAGTTTCTTTTTGGGGGTCTCTGTGGGTCTTTATGGGTCCCTATGGGTTCCTATGGGTCTCTGTGGGTCTCTGTGGGTTCCTATGGGTCTCTATGGGTCCCTATGGGTCTCTGTGGGTTCCTATGGGTCCCTATGGGTCTGTGCCCCACAGGGCTCCACGTGCGAGGTCACCGTCCGAAGCGGCAGCTCCTTCGAGGGCATCTTCAAGACCCTGAGCTCCAAAGTGAGACCCAAACCCCCCTGAACTCCCCCCATAGACCCCTATAGACCCTATAGGCACCCCATAGACCTCCCATAGTCTCTATAGGCACCCCATAGACCCCGTAGCCCCCCCATAGCCCCTATAGGCACCCCATAGACCCCATAGCCCCTCCATAACTTCTATAGGCACCCCATAGAATCCCCATAGACCCCCCCATAGTTTTTATAGGCACCCCATAGACCCCCCATAGCCCCTATAGGCACCCCATAGACCCCATAGCCCCTCCATAACTTCTATAGGCACCCCATAGAATCCCCATAGACCCCCCCATAGTTTTTATAGGCACCCCATAGACCCCCCATAGCCCCTATAGGCACCCCATAGACCCCCCATAGCTTCTACAGGCACCCCATAGACCCCCCCATAGTCCCTATAGGCACCCCATAGACCTCTCATAGCTTCTATAGGCACCCCATAGACCTTATAGAGCCTCCATAGCCCTTATAGGCACCCCATAGACCCCTCCATAGCCCCTATAGGCATCCCATAGACCCCCCATAGTCTCTATAGGCACCCCATAGACCTGCCATGACCCGCCATAGACCCCCCCCATAGCCCCCTAAGTGCCCTTATAGCCCCCCATAGACCCCCTATTGCCTCCCATAGCCCCCCCCAGATCCCCATAGCCCCCCATAGAGCCCCGTAGACCCCTCATAGACCCCCTATTGCCTCCCATAGCCCCCATAGACCCTCCATAGACCCCCATAACCATAGGCCGCCCCATAGACCCTCCATAGCCTCCCATAGACTCCCAATTGCCCCCCCATAGCAACCCATAGACCCCCATGGCCCCCCCCAGATCTTGATAGACCCTCATAGCCCCCCATAGACTTCCGTAGCCCCACCATAGTCTTCCATAGCCTCCCCATAGCCCCCTATAGCCCTCTGTGGACCCTCCATAGCCCCCCCTAGACCTGCCATAGACCCCCCATTGACCCCCATAGCCCTCCTATAGACCCCCCCATAGACCCCTGTACCCCCCCATAGACCTCCCATACCTTCCATTGACCCCCCCTAGCCCCCCATTGACCCCCATAGACCCCCATAGCCCCCCCTAGACCCCCCCCAGCCTCCCATTGACGCCCACAGACCCCCATAGGCCCCCCATAGCCGCCCCTTAGCCCCCCCATAGACCCCCATTGACCCCCATAGGCCCTCCATAGCCCCCACTAGACCTGCCATAGACCCCCCGTTGACCCCCATAGCCCCCCAAGTCCCCCATAGCCTCCCCATAACCTTCCCATAGACCCTCCATAGCCCCCCCAGACCTGCCATAGACCCCCCGTTGACCCCCATAGCCCTCCTATAGACCTCCCATACCCCCCATTGACCCCCTAGCCCCCCATTGACCCCCTAGCCCCCCATTGACCCCCTAGCCCCCCATTGACCCCCATAGCCCCCCCATACCCCGCATTGACCCCCATAGTCCCCCATTGACCCCCATAGACCCCCCCATAGCCCCCCATTGACCCCCATAGCCCCCCCATAGCTCCCCTAGCCCCCCATTGACCCCCATAGCCCCCCCATAGTCCCCCATTGACCCCCATAGTCCCCCATTGACCCCCATAGTCCCCCATTGACCCCCATAGACCCCCCTAGCCCCCCATTGACCCCCATTGACCCCCATAGTCCCCCATTGACCCCCATAGTCCCCCATTGACCCCCATAGACCCCCCATAGTCCCCCATTGACCCCCGTAGACCCCCATACCCCCCATTGACCCCCATAGTCCCCCATTGAGCCCCATAGACCCCCCTAGTCCCCCATTGACCCCCATAGCCCCCCCATAGCTCGCCTAGCCCCCCATTGACCCCCATAGCCCCCCCATACCCCCCATTGACCCCCATAGTCCCCCATAGTCCCCCATTGACCCCCATAGACCCCCCTAGCCCCCCATAGACCCCCATACCCGCCATTGACCCCCATAGTCCCCCATTGACCCCCATAGACCCCCCATAGCCCCCCATTGACCCCCATAGCCCCCCCATAGCTCCCCTAGCCCCCCATTGACCCCCATAGCCCCCCTATACCCCCCATAGTCCCCCATTGACCCCCATAGCCCCCCCATAGTCCCCCATAGTCCCCCATTGACCCCCATAGCCCCCCCATTGACCCCCATAGTCCCCCATTGACCCCCATAGACCCCCCTAGCCCCCCATTGACCCCCATAGACCCCCATACCCCCCATTGACCCCCATAGTCCCCCATTGACCCCCATAGACCCCCCTAGCCCCCCATTGACCCCCATAGCCCCCCATACCCCCCATTGACCCCCATTGACCCCCATAGACCCCCCATAGCCCCCCATTGACCCCCCATAGCTCCCCTAGCCCCCCATTGACCCCCATAGCCCCCCCATACCCCCCATTGACCCCCATAGTCCCCCATTGACCCCCATAGACCCCCCATAGCCCCCCATTGACCCCCATAGCCCCCCCAGCCCCCCATAGACCCCCATACCCCCCATTGACCCCCATAGTCCCCCATTGACCCCCATAGACCCCCCATAGCCCCCCATTGACCCCCATAGCCCCCCCCTAGCCCCCCATAGACCCCCATACCCCCCATTGACCCCCATAGTCCCCCATTGACCCCCATAGACCCCCCCTAGCCCCCCATTGACCCCCATAGTCCCCCATTGACCCCCATAGCCCCCCCATAGCCCCCCTAGCCCCCCATTGACCCCCATGGCCGCAGCTGGAGGTAGCCCTGGACGCCGTCCACCGGCGCCCCCCCCCGGCGCCCCCCGGCGCCCCCCGGCGCGAGGACATCGTGGACACCATGATCTTCCGGCCACGTGACCTGGTCCTGCTGCGCCTGCGCGACGTCGACATGGCCTTCACCTGCAGGGGTGCGCTGTGGGGCGCTATGGGGGGGATATGGGGGTCTATGGGGGGATATGGGGTGTCTATGGGGGGATATGGGGGTCTATGGGGGGATATGGGGTGTCTGTGGGGGGATATGGGGTGTCTATGGGGGATATGGGGGGCTATGGGGTGTCTGGGTAGTCTATGGGGGGATATGGGGTGTCTATGGGGGGATATGGGGGGATATGGGGTGTCTATGGGGGGATATGGGGGGCTATGGGGGGATATGGGGTGTCTATGGGGGGATATGGGGGGATATGGGGTGTCTATGGGGGGATATGGGGGGCTATGGGGGGATATGGGGTGTCTATGGGGGGATATGGGGTGTCTATGGGGGGATATGGGGGGCTATAGGGTGTCGGGGTAGTTTATGGGGGAATAGGGGGGGCTATGGGGTGTCTGTGGGGAGTCTATGGGGGGATATGGGGGGGATATGGGGTGTCTATGGGGGATATGGGGGGCTATGGGGTGTCTGGGTAGTCTATGGGGGGATATGGGGGGCTATAGGGTGTCTGGGTAGTTTATGGGGGAATATGGGGGGCTATGGGGTGCCTGTGGGGAGTCTATGGGGGGATATGGGGGGGATATGGGGTGTCTATGGGGGGATATGGGGGGCTATGGGGTGTCTGTGGGACGCTATGGGGGGGCTATGGGGGTCTATGGGGGCTATAGGGGGTCTATGAGGGGGCTATGGGGTGTCTATGGGGGGGATATGAGGGGCCTATGGGGTGTCTATGGGGCGCTATGGGGGGATGTGGAGGGGCTATGGGGTGTCTGTGGGGCGCTATGGGGGGGCTATTGGGGGTCTATGAGGGTCTATGGGGGTCTGTGGGGGGATATGGGGGGCTATAGAGGGGCTATGGGGGGTCTATGAGAGCCTATGGGAGGTCTATGGGTGTCTGTGTGGGTCTATGGCGTGTCTTTGGGGGTCTGTGTTGTCTCTATGGGGGGTTATGGGGCTCTATGGTGTGTCTGGGGGGGGTCTGTGTGGTGTCTGTGGGGCGCTATGGGGAGCCTGGGGGGGTCTAAGGGATGCTGTGGGGGTCTGTGGGGGGTCTGTGGGGCTCTATTGGGTATCAAAGGGGGGTGCAGGCAGGGGTTTGCTGGGGGGCCTGCAGGGGGCAGTAAAGGGCCACAGGGGGCGGGGTCAGACGAAGACACGCCCCTCGTCTGTGGGCCAATGAGTCCAATGGGGCTACGGGCATCTATGGGGTGTTATGGGTCTCTATGGGGTCCCTGTGGGTCTTTATGGGGTTTCTATGGGGCCTCCATGGGTCTCTATTGATCCCTATGGGGTCTTTATGGGTCTCCGTGGGTCCTGAGGGGTCTCTGTGGGTCCCTATGGGGTTCCTATGGGTCTCTGTGGGTCCTGAGGGGTCGCTGTGGGTCCCAGGCAGGTTCCCGGAGCCGGGGCTGCGCCTCAATGGGCAGCACCGGGAGAAGCCGCTGCAGCGCTGGGAGGGCGGCGACGGCGCCTGCGACGAGTACGACCTGGACTCAGACCTGGTGAGCCCCAAAACGGCCTCAGACACCCCAAAAACGGCCTCAGACACCCCAAAAACGGCCTAAAACACCCCAAAAACGGCCTAAAACACCCCAAAAAGGCCTCAGACACCCCAAAAATGGCTTCAGACACCCCAAAAACGGCCTCAGACACCCCAAAAACGGCCTAAAACACCCCAAAAAGGCCTCAGACACCCCAAAAATGGCTTCAGACACCCCAAAAACGGCCTCAGACACCCCAAAAACGGCCTCAGACACCCCAAAAACGGCCTCAGACACCCCAAAAACGGCCTCAGACACCCCAAAAATGGCTTCAAACACCCCAAAAATGGGGATAAGCACCCCAAAAATGGGTTAAACACCCCAAAAATGGCCTCAGACACCCCAAAAACGGCCTCAAACACCCCAAAAACGGCTTCAAACACCCCAAAAACGGCCTCAGACACCCCAAAAACGGTGATAAGCACCCCAAAAACGGCCTCAAACACCCCAAAACCGGCCTCAAACACCCCGAAATGGGGTAAACACCCCAAGAACGGTCTGAAACACCCCAAAAACGGCCTCAAACACCCCAAAAACGGCCTAAAACACCCCAAAAAGGCCTCAGACACCCCAAAAACGGCCTCAGACACCCCAAAAAAGGCTTCAAACACCCAAAAACGGGGATAAGCACCCCAAAAATGGGTTAAACACCCCAAAAACGGCCTCAGAAACCCCAAAAACGGCCTCAAACACCCCAAAATGGGGTAAACACCCCAAAAACGGCCTCAGACACCCCAAAAACGGCCTCAAACACCCCAAAAACGGCCTCAAACACCCCGAAAACGGCCTCAGACACCCCAAAAACGGCCTCAGACACCCCAAAAATGGCCTCGAACACCCCAAAAACAGGGATAAGCACCCCAAAAATGGGTTAAACACCCCAAAAACGGCCTCGAACACCCCAAAAATGGCCTCGAACACCCCAAAAAAGGCCTCAAACACCCCCAAAAACAGCCTCAAACACCCCAAAAACGGGTTAAACACCCCAAAAATGGACTCAAACACCCCAAAAATGGCCTCAAACACCCCAAAAAGGCCTCAGACACCCCAAAAACGGCCTCAGACACCCCAAAAACAGCCTCGAACACCCCAAAACCGGCTTCAAACACCACAAAAATGGGGATAAGCACCCCAAAAATGGGTTAAACACCCAAAAACTGATCTCAAACACCCCAAAAATGGCCTAACCCTTTTCCCCAAAATCGCTGTTTTTCACCCCAAAATCCCTTTTTTCCCCAAAATCACTGTGTTTTACCCCAAATCCCGTTTTCCTCCCAACCCCCCCATTTTGACCCAAAATCCCCTTTCCTCCCCCCAAAACCCCAGTTTTTCACCCAAACACCTGCATTTTACCCAAAATCCCTGTTTTTACCCCAAATCCCCCTTTTTCACCCCAAAATCCCTTTTTTCCCCAAAATCAGTTTTTTACCCCAAAATCCCTTTTTCCCCCTGAAACCCCCATTTTGACCCAAAATCCCCTTTCCTCCCCCCCAAAACCCCAGTTTTTCACCCAAACACCTGCATTTTACCCAAAATCCCTGTTTTTACCCCAAATCCCCCTTTTTCACCCCAAAATCCCTTTTTTCCCTAAAATCACTGTTTTTTACCCCCAATCCCTTTTTCCTCCCAACCCCCCATTTTGACCCAAAATCCCCTTTCCTCCCCCCCAAAACCCCAGTTTTTCACCCAAACACCTGCATTTTACCCAAAATCCCTGTTTTTACCCCAAATCCCCCTTTTTCACCCCAAAATCCCTTTTTTCCCCAAAATCACTGCTTTTTACCCCCAATCCCTTTTTCCTCCCAACCCCCCCATTTTGACCCAAAATCCCTTTCCCCCCCCCCAAAAAAACCCAATTTTTCACCCAAACACCTGAAATTTACCCAAAATCCCTGTTTTTTCCCTAAATCCCACCCCAAAATCCTTTTCCCCAAAAATCACTGTTTTTTCCCCCAAATCCCTTTCCCCCCCCAACCCCCCCAGTTTCAACCCAAAACCTTCCCCCCACCCCCCATTTTAACCCCAAATCCCCTTTCCCCCCCCCCAAACCCCCCATTTTTCACCCGCGTTTGACCCAAAATCCCCGTTTTTCCCCCCAAACCGCGGCAGTCCAACGGCTGGGACCCCAACGAGATGTTCCGCTTCAACGAGGAGACCTACGGCGTGCGCAGCACCTACGACAGCAGCCTGGCCGCCTACACGTAAACCGCCCGCTTTTGGTTCATTTTGGGCGGATTTGGGGCGTTTTGGGCGTTTTGGGGCGTTTTGGGGTGTTTCGGGGCGTTTTGGGGCGGATTTGGGCGGTTTTGGGTCTTTTTGTTCTCTTTTGCGCCTTTTTGGGTGGTTTGGGGATAGTTTGGGTTGGTTTTAGGTGGTTTGGGGTCATTTTGGGGTATTTTGGGCCATTTTTGGTGGTTTGGGGCGTTTTTTGGTTATTTGGGGTGTTTTGGGCGTTTTCGGTGGTTTTGGGGTAATTTAGGCTGGCTTTGGGGGTTTTAGGGCGTTTTCAGCCAGTTTTGGGTTGTTTTGGGATGGTTTTGGGAGTGTTTAGGTGATTTGGGGTCATTTTGGGTATTTTTGGCCAGTTTTGGTGTTTTGGCTCCGATTTTGGGGTGTTTTTTGGTGGTTTTGGGTGTTTGGGGCATTATTGGGTGTTTTTGGGTGTTTTAGGGCGTTTTTGTTCACTTTTGCGCCGTTTTTGGGTGGTTTGGGGCCAGTTTTGGGTGTGTTTAAGGGGATTTCGAGTCATTTTGGGGTATTTTTGGCCATTTTTGGTGTTTTGGCTCCGATTTTGGGGTGTTTTTTGGTGGTTTTGGGTGTTTGGGGCATTATTGGGTGTTTTAGGGCGTTTTTGTTCACTTTTCGGCCGCTTTTGGGTGCTTTGGGGCCAGTTTTGGGTGTGTTTCAGGGGGTTTTGGGGGTCATTTTGGGGTAGTTTTGGTGTTTTGGGGCGGGTTTTGGTGGTTTTGGGTGTTTTGGGATAATTTAGGGTGGCTTTGGGGGTTTAGGGCGTTTTCAGCCAGTTTTGGGTTCTTTTGGGGCAGTTTGGGGTGTGTTTAAGGGGATTTCCCGTTTCTGTGTGGGTTTGGACCATTTTGGGGCCACTTTTGGCCATTTTTGGGCTGGTTTTGGCCATATTTGGGCAGCTTTTGCCCATTCCTGCGAGATTTTAGGCCGGATTTTGGCCATTTTTGGGTGTTTTTTGCCGTTTTGGGGCCAATTTTTGCCGTTTCGGGTCCATTTTGGCCGTTTCGGCGTGGTTTTTTTGCCATTTTGGGGCCAATTTTTGCCGTTTCAGGTCCGTTTTTGGCCGTTTCGGGGTGTTTTTTGCCATTTTGGGGCCAATTTTTTGCCGTTTCGGGTCCCGTTTTTGGCCGTTTTGGGGTGTTTTTTTGCCATTTTGGGGCCAATTTTTGCCGTTTCGGGTCCGTTTTTGGCCGTTTTGGGGTGTTTTTTGCCCGTTTCCCCCCGTTTTCAGCCCATTTCCCCCCGTTCCCCCCCAGGGTGCCCCTGGAGAAGCAGAACTCGGCGGCGTTCCGGCAGCGGGAGGCGCGCGCGCCGCGCTGGCGCGGGAAATCGAGGGCAGCCCCCAGCACCGCCTGCGTGCGGCCGCCGAGGAGCACGAGGAGGGGCCCGAGGAGCGCCCGGCGCGGAGGTGGGGCCGAAACGACCCCAAATTGGGTGAGATCGACCCCAAATTGGGTGAGATCGACCCAAAATTGGGCGAGATCGACCCCAAATTGGGCGAGATCGACCCCAAATTGGGCGAGATCGACCCCAAATTGGGTGAGATCGACCCCAAATTGGGTGAGATCGACCCCAAATTGGGCGAGATCGACCCCAAATTGGGTGAGATCGACCCAAAATTGGGCGAGGTCGACCCAAAATTGGGCGAGATCGACCCCAAATTGGGTGAGATCGACCCAAAATTGGGCGAGATCGACCCCAAATTGGGCGAGATCGACCCCAAATTGGGCGAGATCGACCCCAAATTGGGCGAGATCGACCCCAAATTGGGTGAGATCGACCCCAAATTGGGCGAGATCGACCCCAAATTGGGCGAGATCGACCCCAAATTGGGCGAGATCGACCCAAAATTGGGCGAGATCGACCCCAAATTGGGCGAGATCGACCCCAAATTGGGTGAGATCGACCCCAAATTGGATGAGATCGACCCCAAATTGGGTGAGATCGACCCCAAAATTGGGTGAGATCGACCCCAAATTGGATGAGATCGACCCCAAATTGGGTGAGATCGACCCCAAATTGGGTGAGATCGACCCAAAATTGGGCGAGATCGACCCAAAATTGGGCGAGATTGACCCCAAATTGGGTGAGATTGACCCCAAATTGGGCAAGATCGACCCCAAATTGGGCAAGATCGACCCAAATTTCAGCAAGATCGATCCCAAATTGGGCAAGATTGACCCAAAATTGGGCGAAATTGACCCAAAATTGGGCAAGATTGACCCAAAATTGGGCAAGATCGACCCAAAATTGGGCGAAATTGACCCAAAATTGGGCAAGATCAACCCAAAATTGGGCAAGGATCAACCCAAAATTGGGCAGGATCGACCCAAAATTGGACAAGATCGAACACAGATTGGGCGAGATCGACCCCAAATTGGGTGAAATCGACCCCAAATTGGGCAAGATCAACCCAAAATTGTGCGAAATTGACCCCAAATTGGGCAAGATCAACACAAAATTAGGTGAAATCGGCTCAAAATTGGGCAAGATCGACCCAAAATGGGGTGAAATCGACCCAAAATGGGGTGAAATCGACCCAAAATGGGGTGAAATCGACCCAAAATGGGGTGAAATCGACCCAAAATGGGGTGAAGTGACCCAAAATTGGGTAAAATCGACCCAAAATGGGGCGAGGTCGACCCAAACCTGACCCAAAATCGGGCTAAATTAGCCCAAACTAGAGCCCGTGACCCCCCTTTGACCCCCAACCCCTCCCCCCCCCCATTGATCCCTTCCCCCCCTTTTCCATTGCAGGGACCCCAAGTTCCCGCCCCTCCCCCAACGCCCGCGGGGGGGGCTCCGCTGCTCCTCAAGGGGGGGAGGGGCCCCCAGACCCCCTGGGGGAGGAGGGGCCGGAAGTGCCCCCCCCACCCCGAGGGCCCCCCCCCCACCCCGGAGCCGGGGGTCAATGGAGGTGAGAGGGGGGGGAGGGGCTTCAAAGGGGGGGGGGAGGGGCTGCAATAAAGCCCCTCCCCCCACTTTGTGTCCTCTCCCCTCCCCCCTTTAGGCCCCTCCCCCAAGGCCCAGCGACCCCCCCGGGGGGGGAAGGGCAGCGGAGGGGGGTGCCCATCCCCCACCCCTGGTGAGATGGGGGGAGGGGGATGTGGGGTGGGGGAGGGGCTTAATGGGTGCATGGGGTGCCTATGGGGTGGTTATGGGGCAGCTGTGGAGTGGTTATGGGGCTCTTGTGGGGGTGTGGGACACGTATGGGGTATATATGGGGTGTGGTCGCTTAGAGGGTGGTTATGGGTCACTTATGGGGCAGCTCTAGGGTGGTTATGGGGCACTTCTGGGGCAGCTCTAGGGTGGTTATGGGGCACTTCTGGGGCAGCTCTAGGGTGGTTATGGGGCACTTATGGGGCAGCTCTAGGGTGGTTATGGGGCACTTCTGGGGCAGCTCTAGGGTGGTTATGGGCACTTCTGGGGCAGCTCTAGGGTGGTTATGGGGCACTTATGGGGCAGCTCTAGGGTGGTTATGGGGCACTTATGGGGCAGCTATGGGAGGTGTTGGTCACTTATGGGGGTTGTGGGGCACTTACGGGGCCGCTATGGGAGGTTATGGGGCACTCACAGGGCAGCTGTGGGGTGGTTATGGGGTACTTATGGGGGTGTGGGGCACTTATGGGGCATCTCTGGGGTGGTTATGGGGCTCTTGGGGGGGGTTGGGGCACTTATGGGGCTGCTATGGGGTGGTTATGGGGCTCTTGGGGGGGTTGGGGGCACTTATGGGGCTGCTATGGGGTGGTTATGGGGCGTGTGGGGAGGGGTCTATGGGGTGGGGGAGGGGCCATAACTCACTCTCTCTCCCCGCCCCCCAGCCCCCTCTGCGCCCCTCCCGCGCTCCCCGAAGCCCAGCCCCTCCCCCCTCCCGGACCCCTCCCCCTCCACCCCTCCCGTGGTGGGGAGGGGCCGCCCCCTCCCCCCGCCTCCCCCTGCCCCTCCCCCCCCCCTTTCCCCCCTCCCCCCACCCAGGATCCGCCCCTCCCCCCCCCGGCTCGGACCTCACGGGACCCCCGGAGCCCCCCCGCAAAGGTGAGTGGGGGGGGGAGGGGCTTGTGACCCCCAAGTGACCCCTCCGTGACCCCCAAGTGACCCCTCCGTGACCCCCATCCCCCCCCAGGTCCGTCAGAGCAGCAGCGGAACCAATTGGAGGAGCTGAGGAAGTTTGGGGCCCAGTTTAAGGTGTGGGGCACTTATGGGGCAGCTATGGGGTGGTTATGGGGCACTTATGGGGGGTGTGGGGCACTTATGGGGCAGCTATGGGGTGGTTATGGGGCACTTATGGGGGCGTGGGGCACTTATGGGGCAGCTATGGGGTGGTTATGGGGCACTTATGGGGGGTGTGGGGCACTTATGGGCAGCTATGGGTGGTTATGGGGCACTTATGGGGGCGTGGGGCACTTATGGGGCAGCTATGGGGTGGTTATGGGGCACTTATGGGGGGTGTGGGGCACTTATGGGGCAGCTATGGGGTGGTTATGGGGCACTTATGGGGGCGTGGGGCACTTATGGGGCAGCTATGGGGTGGTTATGGGGCACTTATGGGGGGTGTGGGGCACTTATGGGGCAGCTATGGGGTGGTTTGGGGCACTTATGGGGCGTGGGGCACTTATGGGGCAGCTATGGGGTGGTTATGGGGCACTTATGGGGGGTGTGGGGCACTTATGGGGCAGCTATGGGGTGGTTATGGGGCACTTATGGGGGCGTGGGGCACTTATGGGGCAGCTATGGGGTGGTTATGGGGCACTTATGGGGGGCGTGGGGCACTTATGGGGCAGCTATGGGGTGGTTATGGGGCACTTATGGGGGGCGTGGGGCACTTATGGGGCGGCTATGGGGTGGTTATGGGTCGCTTATGGGTCATAGGGCAGCTATGGGGTGTGTGGGTTACTTATGGGGCAGCTATGGGGTGGTTATGGGGCACTTATGGGGGGCGTGGGGCACTTATGGGGCAGCTATGGGGTAGTTATGGATCGCTTATGGGTCATAGGGCAGCTATGGGGTGTGTGAATTACTTATGGGGCAGCTATGGGGCGGTTATGGGGCACTTACGGGGGGTGTGGGGTCACAGGTCACTTACGGGGCAGTTATGGGGTGGTTATGGGTCATAATGGGTCATGGGGCTGCCATGGGGTGTGTGCGTCACTTATGGGGTGATTATGGGGCATCTATAGGGCGCATGGGTCCCTTGTGTGGCGTCCATGGGATGTGTGAGACAGCTATGGCGTGGTTATGGGGCCTCAGTGGGGTGTGTGGGTCACTTATGGGGCAGCTATGGGGTACCTGTGGGTCACTTATGGGGCAGCTGTGGGGTACCTGTGGGTCACTTATGGGGCAGCTATGGGGTACCTGTGGGTCACTTATGGGGCAGCTATGGGGTACCTGTGGGTCACTTATGGGGCAGCTATGGGGTACCTGTGGGTCACTTATGGGGCAGCTGTGGGGTACCTGTGGGTCACTTATGGGGCAGCTGTGGGGTACCTGTGGGTCACTTATGGGGCAGCTATGGGGTACCTGTGGGTCACTTATGGGGCAGCTATGGGGTACCTGTGGGTCACTTATGGGGCAGCTATGGGGTACCTGTGGGTCACTTATGGGGCAGCTATGGGGTACCTGTGGGTCACTTATGGGGCAGCTGTGGGGTAAGCTATGGGTCACTTATGGGGCAGCTATGGGGTACCTGTGGGTCACTTATGGGGCAGCTATGGGGTACCTGTGGGTCACTTATGGGGCAGCTATGGGGTACCTGTGGGTCACTTATGGGGCAGCTGTGGGGTACCTGTGGGTCACTTATGGGGCAGCTATGGGTCACTGACACCTCCCCTCCCCCCTCCCAGCTCCAGCCCAGCAGCGCCCCCCAGGACCCCCCCTCGGAGCCCCTCCCCCCGCCTCGCAGCGGCCCCTCCCCCCAGGAGGACCCCCCCGAAGCCCAGGGCGGGGGGGGTGGGGGCGGGGCCGGGACCCCCCCGGGGACCCCCCAGGACAAGGACGAGTGAGTGGGGGCGGGGCTTAAAAGGGAGGGGGGGCGGGGCTTAAAGGGAGGGAGGGCGGGGCTTAAAGGGAGGGGGGGCGGGGCTTCAGGGGGTCGATTTTGGCCCTAAACCCCCCCTATTTTGGGGCCGTTTCTCCCCGTTTTGGGGGAGGAGCCCAAGTGGGGGAGGGGCTTGAGCCGCCCCTCCCCCCCCCCCAATTAACCCCATTTTAATTACCCCTCCCCCCATAGGCAGGTGAAGAAGTCGACGCTGAACCCCAATGCCAAGGAGTTCAACCCCTCCAAGCCCCTATTGGCTGTGGTGAGGGGGGAGGGGGGCGGGGCTTAAAGGGGGGGAGGGGCGGGGCTTAAGGGGGTTGACCCCCTCCCCCCCTTTAACCCCTCCCCCCACCCTTTTCCCTCCCCATAGGGCAAAGCCGCTGCCCCCGCCCTCCTCGCCGGGGCCCCGCCTCCACCCCTCCCCCACCCTGGGGGTCATGACCCCGCCGGGGGCGGGGCAAGGTGGGGGAGGGGGCAGCAGGAGGAGGAGGAGGAGGTGGGGGGGGAGGGGCGAGCAGCATCTATGCCCCTCCCCCGCCCTATATCTCCTATATCCCCCAGCTGCACGTGCAGGTAAAGCCCCTCCCCCCAACCCCCTCCCCCCCCCCCCCGTTGCTGCCCCTCCCCCCACACCTTAAGCCCCTCCCCCGCTTTCTGTTTCAGGCCCCCCAAATGTACCCGTACCCCGTGGCCACCGCCCCCCAGGGCAAATACAGGGGGGGTAAAGGTCAGTGGTTCCGACCCCCATATCGCCCCTCCCCCCACGATATGACCCCCTTATCGCCCCTCCCCCCACGATATGACCCCCTATCGCCCTTCCCCCCACGATATGACCCCCTATCGCCCCTCCCCCCACGATATGACCCCTATCGCCCCTCCCCCCACTCCTATCGCCCCTCCCCCCACAATATGACCCCCTATCGCCCCTCCCCCCACGATATGACCCCCTTATCGCCCCTCCCCCCACGATATGACCCCCTATCGCCCTTCCCCCCACGATATGACCCCCCTATCGCCCCTCCCCCCATGATATGACCACCCTATTGCTCCTCCCCCCACGATATGAACCCCCTATCGCCCCTCCCCCCCATGATATGACCCCCTATCGCCCCTCCCCCCCATGATATGACCCCCCTATCGCCCCTCCCCCCACGCCATGACCCCTTATCGCCCCTCCCCCCACGATATGACCCTCCTATCGCCCCTCCCCCCACGACATGACCCCCCCATCGCCCCTCCCCCCGTGATATACCCCCCTTATTGCTCCTCCCCCCATGAAGTAATCCCCGTCGCCCCTCCCCCCACGATATGACCCTCGTATTACTCCTCCCCCCACAATGTAACCCCACCATTGCCCCTCCCCCCACAATATAACCCCACTTTTGCTCCTCCCCCCACGATATGACCCACATATTGCCCCCCCCAGAGATACAACCCCCATTCTGCCCCTCCCCCAGCGCTAGAGCCCTCTATCGCCCCTCCCCCCACGATATAACCCCCCCATCGCCCCTCCCCCCCCGCCCCCCCCTCTGACGTCTTTATGCCCCTCCCCCCTCCCCTTTCTCAACAGGTTCCCTCCCCCCGCCGCCGCCGCGCTCGGAGCAGCCTCACGCCCCTCCCCCCCCCGCCCCTCCCCCATCGGCCTCTGCCCCTGCCCCCCCTCCCTTGGTGCCTGTGGCCGCCCCTCCCCCCCGCCCCCTCCCCCCCATTACTCCCAGTACATCTCCTATGGGCCCCCCCAGGCCTTCGGGGGGGGGCAGGCGCTCGTGCAGCCCCTCCCCCACTACCCGTCCCAGGTAAGCAGGGTGGGGGGAGGGGCATAAACACGTCGGGGGGGGGGGGAGGGGCGATATGGGGGTCATATCGTGGGGGGGGGATGATATGGGGGTTATATCGAGGGGGGGAGGAGCGATAGGGGGTTATATCGAGGGGGGGAGGAGCGATAGGGGGTTATATCGAGGGGGGGAGGAGCGATAGGGGGTTATATCGTGGGGGGAGGGGCGATATGGGGGTCATATCGTGGGGGGAGGGGCGATATGGGGCTCATATCGTGGGGGGAGGGGTGGGGAGGGGTGATATGGGGGTCATATCGTGGTGGGAGGGGCGATATGGGGGTCATCGTGGGGGGGAGGGGTGATGGGGCTATATTGAGGGGAAAGAAGCGATAGGGGGTTATATCGTGGGGGGAGGGGCGATATGGGGGTCATATCGTGGGGGGAGGGGCGATATGGGGGTCATATCGTGGGGGAGGGGCGATCTGGGGCTCATATCGTGGGGGGGAGGGGTGATACGTGGATTGTATTGTGGGGGGAGGGGCGACAGGCGGGTCATGTGACCTGAACCCCCTCCCCCTCCCCCCCAGGCTGTGTTTGCACCGCTGCTCCCCGGCAGCCCCCGCCTGCACCCCTCCCCCACCCTGGTGTCCTCTGCCGCCCCTCCCCCACCCCAGTTCCCCCCCGGCGACCAATCAGGAGCCCCGCAGGCCCTGTACGGTGAGTGGAGCCCCTCCCCCACCCCACCGAGCCCCTCTCCCCTCCCCCCGCTCTAACTCCGCCCCTCCCCCCACAGCCGCCGTCCATCAGCCCTTCCCCCCCCCAACGCCGGCCGGGAACCCCCCGCCCGCCCCCCCAAGCCAGGTAATGGGGGGGGGGGGAAGGAGCCTATAGGGTGGGGGGTGGGGCACTCAATGTGTGTGGGGGAGGGGTTTATGAAAAGGGAGGAGGGGCCTCTTGTGGCCCCTCCCCCCCCTCACTCCTCCCTTTCCTTCCCCACCCCCACAGGGAGGGCAGCAGCCGCCATTGTTCCCCCCCGCCCCTCCCCCCCCCGGCGCCCCCTCCCCCCAGAGCAGCTTCGCCCAACCCCCCCCGGCCCCTCCCCCCACCCCGTCTCCCGCCGCCCCCTCCCCCGCCGCCCCCCCCGCCCCCCTCCCCCTCCCCCCGCTCCTTCCGCCCCTCCCCCCAGCGCCGCTGCTGCCGCCGCCGCCGTCTACGCCCTTCACCAGAGCCTGACCCACGGCTATGGGGTGGCGCATGTGGGGCAGGTGGGGGAGGGGCGATTCTGGGGGGATAGGGTGGGGGAGGGGCGATATTGGGGGTGATATCGCAGGGGGAGGCCATCGGGTGTTATATCGCGGGGGGATGGGGGGGGAGGGGTGATAAGGGGGTTATATCGCGGGGGGAGGGGCGATATGGGGGTTATATCGTGGGGGAGGGGCGATATGAGGGTGATATCGTGGGGGGATTGGTGATAATGGGGTTATATCGTGGGGGGAGGGGCGATATGAGGGTGATATCGTGGGGGGATTGGTGATAATGGGGTTATATCGTGGGGGGAGGGGCGATATGGGGGTTGTATTGGAGGGGGAGGGGGCGATACGAAGGCGATATCGTGGGGGGATTGGTGATAATGGGGTTATATCGTGGGGGGAGGGGCGATATGGGGGTTATATCGCGGGATAGTGGCCATGGGGGGGTTGTATCGCGGGGGGGAGGGGCGCTGCTGGTGTCTCCTGACCCCTGACCCCTCCCCCCACCCAGGCCCACGTGCAGACGGGGCTGGCGGCCGCCCCTCCCCCCCCTCACCCCGGCGCCGCCCATCCCCCCCCCAGGTGATGCTGCTGCACCAGAGCCATGGGGGGGGCAGGGGGGAGGCGGCGTCACCCCCCGGGCCCTTCCCCTACATCAGCCACCACCAAGGTGAGTGATCACTTATGGGGCAGCAGATGGTCACTTATGGGGCAGGAGGTCACTTATGGGGCTGGCGGTGTCACTTATGGGACAGGAGAAAGTCACTTATGGGGGTGGGGGTCTCACTTATGGGGCAGGAGAAGGTCACTTATGGGGTTGGGGGTGTCATGGGGCAGGAGAAGGTCACTTATGGGGCAGGAGAAGGTCACTTATGGGGGTGGGGGTGTCACTTATGGGGCAGGAGGTCACTTATGGGGCAGGAGAAGGTCACTTATGGGGCTGGGGGTGTCATGGGGGCAGGAGGTCACTTATGGGGCTGGGGGTGTCATGGGGCAGGAGAAGGTCACTTATGGGGGTGTCACTTATGGGGCAGGAGAAGGTCACTTATGGGGGTGGGGGTGTCACTTATGGGGCAGGAGAAGGTCACTTATGGGGGTGTCACTTATGGGGCAGGAGAAGGTCACTTATGGGGGTGGGGGTGTCACTTATGGGGCAGGAGGTCACTTATGGGGCAGGAGAAGGTCACTTATGGGGCTGGGGGTGTCATGGGGCAGGAGAAGGTCACTTATGGGGCTGGGGGTGTCATGGGGCAGGAGAAGGTCACTTATGGGGGTGTCACTTATGGGGCAGGAGAAGGTCACTTATGGGGGTGGGGGTGTCATGGGGCAGGAGAAGGTCACTTATGGGGGCAGGAGAAGGTCACTTATGGGGGTGGGGGTGTCACTTATGGGGCAGGAGAAGGTCACTTATGGGGCAGGAGAAGGTCACTTATGGGGGTGGGGGTGTCACTTATGGGGCAGGAGAAAGTCACTTATGGGGGTGGGGGTGTCACTTATGGGGCAGGAGAAGGTCACTTATGGGGGTGGGGTGTCACTTTGGGGGTGGGGGGACTTATAGTATTGGAAGTTGTCACTTATGGGGCTGGAGGTGTCACTTATGGGTCAGGGGAAGGTCACTTATGGGATGGCGGGGACTTACGGCATTGGGAGATGTCACTTATGGGGCAGAGTGGTCACTTGTGGGGCAGGGGAAGGTTGCTTATGGGTTGGGGTTGTTTATGGCATTGGGAGATGTCACTTATGGGGCAGAGGAATCACATGAGGGGCTGGGGGTGTCACTTATTGGGGTGGGGGGATTTACAGCACTGGGAGATGTCACTTATGGGGCAGAGTGGTCACTTGTGGGGCAGGAGTGTCACTTATGGGGCAGAGGTGGTCACTTGTGGGCTGGCAGTATCACTTATCGCGTGGGGGGATTTACAGCATTGGGAGATGTCACTTATGGGGCAGAGTGGTCACTTGTGGGGCAGGAGTGTCACTTATGGGGCAGAGTGGTCACTTGTGGGGCTGGGGGTGTCACTTATCGCGTGGGGGATTTACAGCATTGGGAGATGTCACTTATGGGGCAGAGTGGTCACTTGTGGGGCAGGGGTGTCACTTATGGGGCAGAGTGGTCACTTGTGGGGCAGGGGTCTCACTTATGGGGCAGAGTGGTCACTTGTGGGGCTGGCGGGGTCACTTATCGCGTGGGGGATTTACAGCATTGGGAGATGTCACTTATGGGGCAGAGTGGTCACTTGTGGGGCAGGAGTGTCACTTATGGGGCAGAGTGGTCACTTGTGGGGCTGGGGGTGTCACTTATCGCGTGGGGGATTTACAGCATTGGGAGATGTCACTTATGGGGCAGAGTGGTCACTTGTGGGGCAGGGGTGTCACTTATGGGGCAGAGTGGTCACTTGTGGGGCTTGGGGGGTCACTTATGGGCAGAGTGGTCACTTGTGGGGCTGGGGGGGTCACTTATCGCGTGGGGGATTTACAGCATTGGGAGATGTCACTTATGGGGCAGAGTGGTCACTTGTGGGGCAGGAGTGTCACTTATGGGGGCAGAGTGGTCACTTGTGGGGCTGGGGGGGTCACTTATCGCGTGGGGGATTTACAGCATTGGGAGATGTCACTTATGGGGCAGAGTGGTCACTTGTGGGGCAGGGGTCTCACTTATGGGGCAGAGTGGTCACTTGTGGGGCTGGGGGGTCACTTATGGGTCTGAGATTATCACTTATGGGGGGCCCCACATTTACGCCCCCCCCCACCTCCCCCCCCATCTCCTTTCCAGTCCAGTCCAGCAGATCCAGTTCCACCCCCCGGGCAACTGACGCCACCCCCCAAGTGGCTTCTCCTGCCCCCCAAGTGTGGGGCTGGAGGATGGGGAGGAATCCATGGGGCAGAGCTGGTGCCGCCCCTCCCCCCTCCTTCTCGGGGACTTTTCTATTATTTATAGTGGGGGGAGGGGGGAGGAAATCACCAAAACCCTGGAAAATGACCCAAAATGACCCAAAATGACCCAAAAAAAAAGACGAAAAAAAGAAAAAAAAACCAAACCCAAAAAGAGTAAAAAATAAAAATTTTGGTTCATTTCCGGGGGTGGGGGAGGGGCAAGGGAGGGGGCGGGGAAAGGGGATCTGGGGTGGGGGAGGGGCTTTAAAAGGGTGTGGGGCACTTATGGGGGTGGGGGGAGGGGGTTATGGGGTGGGGGGGGGGTCCTTCCCCTCCCCCCCCCCCCCTCACGTGTGGGTCTCAGCCCCCCAAGTAGCAGCTGGAGACGGTGGGGGAGGGGCGGTTGTGGGGCACCAGCGGCCTCAGGGGATGTGGGGCCTGTGGGGCACAGAGAGGGGGGGGGGGGGATGATAACACCCCCGAGATTCAACCCCAGCCCCATAGAGGCCCCCTCGGCCCCACATACACACCCATGGACACCCATTGAGCCCTATAGGCCCCCATAGATCCCCACAGACCCTTCCATAGCCCCCCACAGCCTGTCGCTAGTCCCCCTATAGACCCCCATAGACCCCCCATGTAACCCCATAGCCCCCATAAATGCCCTATAGACCCCCACAGCCCCCCATAAACGCCCTATAGACCCCACAGCCCCCCATAAATGCCATATAGACCCCCATAGCCCCCCATATACGCCCTATAGCCCCCCATAGCCCCCCATAAATGCCCTATAGACCCCCATAAACGCCCTAGAGCGCCATAGCCCCTATAAACGCCCTATAGAGCCCCTTAGCCCCCCATAAACGCCCTATAGAGCCCCATAGCCCCCCATAAACGCCCTATAGAGCCCCATAGCCCCCATAAACGCCCTATAGAGCCCCATAGCCCCCCATAAACGCCCTATAGAGCCCCATAGCCCCCCATAAACGCCCTATAGAGCCCCATAGCCCCCATAAACACCCTATAGACCCCCATAGCCCCCCATAAACGCCCTATAGAGCCCCATAGCCCCCCCATAAACGCCCTATAGAGCCCCATAGCCCCCCATAAACGCCCTATAGACCCCCATAGCCCCCCATAAACGCCCTATAGACCCCCACAGCCCCCCATAAACGCCCTATAGACCCCCAAAGCCCCCCATAAATGCCCTATAGAGCCCCATAGCCCCCCATAAATGCCCCACAGCCCCCATAAATTGCCCTATAGAGCCCCATAGCCCCCCATAAACGCCCTATAGACTCCCATAGCCCCCCATAAACGCCCTATAGACTCCCACAGCCCCCATAAATGCCCTATAGACCCCCATAGCCCCCCATAAATGCCCTATAGACCCCCATAGCCCCCCATAAACGCCCTATAGACCCCCATAGCCCCCCATAAACGCCCTATAGACCCCCATAGCCCCCCATAAACGCCCTATAGACCCCCACAGCCCCCCATAAACGCCCTATAGACCCCCATAAACGCCCTATAGAGCCCCATAGCCCCCCATAAACGCCCTATAGAGCCCCATAGCCCCCCATAAACGCCCTATAGACTCCCACAGCCCCCCATAAATGCCCTATAGACCCCCATAGCCCCCCATAAATGCCCTATAGACCCCCATAGCCCCCCATAAACGCCCTATAGACCCCCATAGCCCCCCATAAACGCCCTATAGACCCCCATAGCCCCCATAAACGCCCTATAGCCCCCCATAGCCCCCCCATAAATGCCCTATAGACCCCATAAACGCCCTATAGAGCCCCATAGCCCCCCATAAACGCCCTATAGAGCCCCATAGCCCCCCATAAACGCCCTATAGAGCCCCATAGCCCCCATAAACGCCCTATAGAGCCCCATAGCCCCCCATAAACGGCCCTATAGAGCCCCATAGCCCCCCATAAACGCCCTATAGAGCCCCATAGCCCCCATAAACACCCTATAGACCCCCATAGCCCCCCATAAACGCCCTATAGAGCCCCATAGCCCCCCATAAACGCCCTATAGAGCCCCATAGCCCCCCATAAACGCCCTATAGACCCCCATAGCCCCCCATAAACGCCCTATAGACCCCCACAGCCCCCCATAAACGCCCTATAGACCCCCAAAGCCCCCCATAAATGCCCTATAGAGCCCCATAGCCCCCCATAAATGCCCCACAGCCCCCCATAAATGCCCTATAGAGCCCCATAGCCCCCCATAAACGCCCTATAGACTCCCATAGCCCCCCATAAACGCCCTATAGACTCCCACAGCCCCCCATAAATGCCCTATAGACCCCCATAGCCCCCCATAAATGCCCTATAGACCCCCATAGCCCCCCATAAACGCCCTATAGACCCCCATAGCCCCCCATAAACGCCCTATAGACCCCCATAGCCCCCCATAAACGCCCTATAGACCCCCATAGCCCCCCATAAAACGCCCTATAGAGCCCCATAGCCCCCCATAAACGCCCTATAGAGCCCCATAGCCCCCCATAAACACCCTATAGACCCCCACAGCCCCCCATAAACGCCCTATAGACCCCCATAGCCCCCCATAAATGCCCTATAGAGCCCCATAGCCCCCCATAAACACCCTATAGACCCCCACAGCCCCCCATAAACGCCCTATAGAGCCCCATAGCCCCCATAAACACCCTATAGACCCCCATAGCCCCCCATAACGCCCTATAGAGCCCCATAGCCCCCCATAAACACCCTATAGACCCCCCATAGCCCCCCATAAACGCCCTATAGAGCCCCATAGCCCCCCCATAAACACCCTATAGACCCCCATAGCCCCCCATAAACGCCCTATAGACCCCCATAGCCCCCCTAAATGCCCTATAGAGCCCCATAGCCCCCCATAAACGCCCTATAGACCCCATAGCCCCCATAAACGCCCTATAGAGCCCATAGCCCCCATAACGCCCTATAGACCTCCATAGCCCCCCATAAACGCCCTATAGACCCCCATAGCCCCCCATAAACGCCCTATAGAGCCCCATAGCCCCCCATAAACGCCCTATAGACCCCCATAGCCCCCCATAAACGCCCTATAGACCCCCATAGCCCCCCATAAATGCCCTATAGAGCCCCATAGCCCCCCATAAACGCCCTATAGAGCCCCATAGCCCCCCATAAACGCCCTATAGAGCCCCATAGCCCCCCATAAACGCCCTATAGAGCCCCATAGGCACCTCGGGGGGAGCCCGTTCCCGCTGTAGCCGTGGTCGTGCTGAGCTCCCAGCACCCGGAGCCGAGCGGCGGCCACGGCCTCCGGCAGCCGCTGCTTGGGGGGGGGCGGCGCCTCCCTGAGACCCAGAGAGACCCCATAGGGACCCACAGAGACCCATAGAGACCCATAGAGACCCATAGAGACCCATAGAGACCCATAGGGACCCCATAGGGACCTCATAGACCCCATAGGGACCCCATAGAGACCCATAGGGACCCCATAGGGACCTCATAGACCCCATAGGGACCCATAGAGACCCATAGGGACCCCATAGACCCCATAGGAACCCATAGAGACCCCATAGGGACCCCATAAAGACCCCGTAAGGACCCACAGAGACCCACAGGGAGCCCGTAAGGACCCACAGAAACCCCATAGGGACCCCACAGAGACCCATAGAGACCCCTAGGGACCCACAGACACCCATGGGGACCCCATAGAGACCCCTAAGGACCCACAGAGACCCATAGGGAACCCTACAGACCTCACAGAGACCCACTGAGACCTCATAGGGACCCATAGACACCCATTAAGAACCAATAGAGACCCATAAACACCCCACAGGGACCCGCCAGAGACCCATAGAGACCCCAGAAAGACCCCATAGAGCCCCACAGATCCCCATAGACAACCATAGAGACACACAGAAACCCATAGAGACCCATGGATCCCCATAGAGACCCCCCGAAACCCCAGAAAGACCCCATAGAGACCCCATAGACACACACACAGACCCATAGAGCCCCATAGAAACCCCATAGAGACCCCAGAAAGACCCCATAGAGCCCCATAGAGACCCCATAGCGCCCCATAGCGCCCCACAGCTCCCCCCCACTCACCACTCGCACGCCGCCGGTCTCCGCTTGCTGCCGGGGCCCGGGTGCGGCGGGGCGCTGCGGGGGGGGTGTGTGTGTTTTAAACCCATTAACAACCATCAATTAACCATTAATTAGGTATTAATTAGCTTAATTGCGCATTAATTAGCGTTAATTGCGTGTTAATTACCGCCCTTATCGCCTCTCCTCCCCCTCTCCGCTCCCCTCCGCCTCCATCCGGGGCCTCCCTCCCTGAGGTAACGCCACGCCCCCTGTGCGTGCGTGCGCGCTGACGTCACCACGCCGCACGCCCGTACGGACGGGGGGGGAGGAAGAAGAAGTGTCATGGCGGCCGCGGCTCCTCCGCCATCAATTAGGTCTTAATAAGCATTAATTAGGGTTAATTGCGTATTAATTAGCGTTAATTGCGTATTAATTAGCTCCCTTTTCACCCCTCCCACCTGAGGTAACGCTACGCCCCATGTGCGTGCGTGCTGACGTCACCACGCCGGACGCCCGTGCGGCAGGGTGGGGAGGAAGAAGTGTCATGGCGGCCGCGGCTCCTCCGCCATCACCTGCCACTAATTAGGTCTTAGTAAGCATTAATTAGGCCTTAATGAGTCTTAATTAGGTATTACGCTTTAATTAGGGTTAATTGCGTATTAATTGGGTATTAATAAGCTCCCTCTTCACTCTCCCTCCCTGAGGTAACGCCACGCCCCCTGTGCGTGCGTGCGTGCGTGCGTGCGTGCCGACGTCCCGTACGGCGGGGCGGGGAAGAGGAAGAAGAAGTGTCATGGCGGCCGCCATCCGCCCCGCCATGGCCGCCGCTCCCCCTCCGTTGCCTTTCGCGGTGCCGGGCGGCGTGAAGCGCTCCCGGCAGCTCCTGCACATGAGCGTCCTGGCGCTCAGCGCCTCCCCGTGCGGCCGCTACCTGGCGGCGGGCAACAACTACGGCGAGGTCGCGGTCTTCAGGTACCTCACGGAGGGCCGCCATGATGGAGGGCTGCAATGGCCGCTCCCCTCCTTCCCCCTCCTTCCTCCTCCTCCTCCTTCTTCCTTCTCCCCCCGCAGCCTCTCGGCCGCCCTCAGCGCCGAGGCCAAGGAGGAGAGCAAGAGGCCCGTGGGGGTGTTCCAGGGTTCGTATGGACGGGAGGGGGGGGGGGACACGGGACCCATTGGTGTGGGTCCAGCTCGTTCCTATGGGGCCTGGCGTGATCCCAACCATTCCTGACCGTTCCCGATGGTCCAACGCCCTATTCCCCACCATTCCCATTATCCCGTCATTCCCATTATCCCACCATTATCCCACCATTATCCCATCATTCCCATTATCCTCTCATTCTCATTATCCCATTCCCATTATCCCACCATTGTCCCACCGTTATCCCACCCTTTCCAATATCCCATTCCATTATCCCGTCATTCCCATTATTCTAACATTCCTATTATCTCATTCCCGTTATCCCACATTATCCCATTATCCTATCATTCCCATTATCCCATTTCCCACCATGATACCTCCATTATCCCACCGTCATCCCCATTATCCCATTCCCCATTATCCCATTCCCATGGATCCCCCCCATTATCCCACCATTCCCATTCCCATATCCCACCATTCCCATTATCCCACCATTCCCATTATCCCATCATTCCCATTATCCCCTCATTCCCATTATCCCACCATTCCCATTATCCTATTCCCATTATCACCCATTTCCCATTATCCCCTCATTCCCATTATCCCCCCATTATCCCATCCCCATTATTCCCCCATTATCCAATCATACCCATGATCCCATCCCCATTATCCCACTATGATCTCATCATTATCCCATGATCCCATCTCCATTCTCCCATGATCCCCCATCATTATCCCATCATTCCCATCATTATCCCATCATTCCCATCATTCTCCCATGATCCCCCATCATTATCCCATCATTCCCATCATTCTCCCATGATCCCCCATCATTATCCCATCATTCCCATCATTCTCCCATGATCCCCCATCATTATCCCATCATTCCCATCATTCTCCCATGATCCCCCATCATTATCCCATCATTCCCATCATTATCCCATGATCCCATCCCCATTATCCCATTCATTCCCATCATTCTCCCATCATTCCCATGATCCCCCCCCTGCCCATCCCGGCCCCGTTTATTCCCTGGCCTCCACGGAGCGGCTCCTGCTCAGCGCCGGCGATGGGGAAGTGAAGGCCTGGGCCTGGCCCGAGCTGGGCAAGAAGGTGAGGCCACGCCCCCATCTCGACACAGGCCACGCCCCCTTCCCCATAGGCTCCGCCCCCTCCGATACAGGCCACGCCCCCACAGGCCACGCCCCCTCCCCCACAGGCTCCGCCCCCCTCCAATACAGGCCACGCCCCCTTCCCCACAGGCTCCGCCCCTCCAATACAGGCCACGCCCACTTCCTATAGGCTCCACCCCCTCCAATACAGGCCACGCCCCCTTCCCCACAGGCTCCGCCCCTCCAATACAGGCCACGCCCACTTCCCCACAGGCTCCGCCCCCTCCGATACAGGCCACGCCCACTTCCCCACAGGCTCCGCCCCCTCCGATACAGGCCACGCCCACTTCCCACAGGCTCCGCCCCCTCCGATACAGGCCACGCCCCCTTCCCCACAGGCTCCGCCCCTCCGATACAGGCCACGCCCACTTCCCCACAGGCTCCGCCCCCTCCCCCCACAGGCCACGCCCCCTCCCCCACAGGCTCCGCCCCTCCAATGCAGGCCACGCCCCCTTCCCCACAGGCTCCGCCCCTCCAATACAGGCCACGCCCACTTCCCACAGGCTCCACCCCCTCCGATACAGGCCACGCCCACTTCCCCACAGGCTCCGCCCCCTCCGATACAGGCCACGCCCCCTCTAATACAGACCACGCCCACTTCCCACAGGCTCCGCCCCCTCCCGATACAGGCCACGCCCACTTCCCCACAGGCTCCGCCCCCTCCGATACAGGCCACGCCCACTTCCCCACAGGCTCCGCCCCCTCCGATACAGGCCACGCCCACTTCCCCACAGGCTCCGCCCCCTCCGATACAGGCCACGCCCACTTCCCACAGGCTCCGCCCCCTCCGATACAGGCCACGCCCCCTTCCCCACAGGCTCCGCCCCTCCAATACAGGCCACGCCCACTTCCCCACAGGCTCCGCCCCTCCCCCCACAGGCCACGCCCCCTCCCCCACAGGCCACGCCCCTCCAATGCAGGCCACGCCCACTTCCCCACAGGCTCCGCCCCCTTCCAATACACACCACGCCCCCTTCCCCACAGGCTCCGCCCCTCCCAATACAGGCCACGCCCACTTCCTACAGGCTCCGCCCCCCCTCCAATACAGGCCACGCCCCCTTCCCCACAGGCTCCGCCCCTTCCATACAGGCCACGCCCACTTCCCACAGGCTCCGCCCCCTCCGACACAGGCCACGCCCCCTCCCCCACAGGCCACGCCCCCTTCCCCACAGGCTCCGCCCCTCCAATACAGGCTCCGCCCCCTTCGCCACAGGCCACGCCCCATCCCACAAGCCACTCCCCCTTCCTTTGACTCCCCCCCCCCCACCCCTTCTATAGGGCACAAGGGAGCTCTGGACCCGCCGCCCCCCCTGCAGGTGTGTGACCCCTGACCCCTGGGGTGGGAGGGGCTTAAAGGGAATGGGAGGGGCTTAAAGTGAGAAGGGCTTGAAGGGAAGGAGGGGCTTAAACGGGGTGGGAGGGGCTTAAAGGAGGGAGGGGTTTAAGGGGGCGGGTTTAAAGGGTGAGGAGCTTAAAGGGGGTGGGAGGAGCTTAAAGTGGGAAGGGCTTGAAGGGAAGGAGGGGCTTAATGGGGTGGGAGGGGCTTAAAGGAGGGAGGGGCTTAAAGTGGGAGGAGCTTAGGAGGGGGTTAAAGGGTGGGAGAGGCTTAAAGATTGGAGGAGCTTAAAAAGGGAGGGGGTTAAAGAATGGGAGGGGCTTAAAATGGGGTGGGAGGGGCCTGAAGGGTGGGAGGGGCTTAAAGAGGGAGGGGCTTAAAGAGGTGGGCGGGGTTATGTGCCCCATCCCCCCCCCACTAGGACGAGCCTGGAGGTGCCCGAGATCAACAGCCTCCAATTAAACCCCCGGGTGAGGGGGGGGGGGGGAGGGGGTTGTGACCCCCACGTGACGTCACGTGAGCTCGGGTGACGTCACGTGACCCCGCCCCCACCCCCCCCCCCCCCCCAGGGGGATTAAC